TTGGGGATGGATGGGCTGAGCGTGCTCTGAACGTTTTGGGTGAGTGGATTCTTGAAGAATTCCCAAGAAAGTGTCCCTTGGCGTCACGCCGTAGTTGTATACCCTTAACCCTAAACCCTGAACCAAATCCTACAAGGACCCTTTTGCCCCTTTTGAGTAATAATGCCACCTTAGAGATAATAGATGGGGTAATGGTTATTCCTAGAATTGTATTGATAATGGTGTAGTAGTAGTGATACATCGGTGAAGTGTAGGGGGGAGTATAGGAATAATCATCTAATGGGTTGGCGGTGGCATTATTAGCCTAAATAGGCAAGGGGGTCCCTAACTCTATACAGGGTACTAGCGGTGTTCTGCATAGCAGTGGTAGTCCTGGTAGTGAGAGGTGTCGCATTCGTAGTTGCTGTCCTGCTCCTCGTCGTGGTGGCAGTGGAGTTGTAATAGTAACAGTAAGGAATAATCATAGTGACGACGTACCCATTCTACTCCGTAGGCATCTTGGGCCGTTTAGACGGTTTTGCGGGCTTGTGGTCAGGGTCATTCCCATCCGATCCAGCACGATATGTGTAGTGTGCGCACATGCGGCAACAGACGAGCTTTGTTTGGAAGCTTGCTGAAACTCACTGACATGAGCGTATTCAGCAATACTGGAGCGATCTGGTGTTGGAGCCAGCCTGGGTCCTGAACTCGCCATGAACTGCATGCGCTCTTGATCTCTAGACTCCAGACTTCAAACTGTATCCGAAGCGCACGGAAGCGACCGAAGAGGCCAGAAGCTGCAGCATCCCAGGCAAGGAAGCCAGTCATACCTTCATCTGTGAGTATTACCAGCGCATATCGTGACGGTAGTCATGGACTAACTGAGAGGCTTGGAGATGCCCCGCAGAGTCTTGTGTTCTGTTCTGAGTCCTGTATAGCCCTTGAGCCTTAAAGTCTTACTTGTATAAGTGACACTATGAACAAAGAAGGCCGAGACACCCCAAAGCATCCGAGAACTTCGGACAGCCCAGGCAACGGCAAGCAGATCTCCTGAAGGAGAGCAAATTCGAGAGATGTGTGCTTGATCGTGGCCGGCAGGATTTGTAGTAGTAGTCGTCGTCGTAGTACGTCGAGGTAGGCGTAGTTGTAGTCGCAGTCGTTCCCGGTGCTGTTGTATTGCAACAGGTGCCAGGCTTTTTGAGGATGGCATTTCGGTTCATATAGGGGGGCCTTAACAATTAGAATAGGGTTTTGCGGCCCATTATATTACGATTATAATAAGGAGCCCCCAAAATAGTACAGGTAATTATTTGGGCCCCTACGCCTCTCCGGACTGATCCTCTTCGCATTGAACTGCTGCTGGTGGCTGCTAGGGAAGACTCACAAAAATCAAGCTGCTCGGCCTACCTGTCGTGGAGTGCAGCCCAAAAGCCCTAAGCTTTTTGAAAAGCCTGCGCTTGCAGGAGAAGAGGATCGTAGACACTCTGGGAGCCCCGTCTACAGTTCGCTTATGGTCTTCATGCCAGGGATTTAGGGTTTAGGGTTAAGGGGCTTTAATAATTTGAGTATGGTTGTAGGGTATATTCTACTATAATTTAAGGGAACCCTTAAGGGTTTTTTTAAGGGTCCCTTTAAGGTGTATTTATGGTCAGCATGGTTTCGCCTTCCACTTTCGTGTTGAAGGGCCAAGGTTGCTCGTGAGCATTGGTGTGAAGGTGGGCGCAGTCCTGAGCTCGTTGAAGTGATTGCAAGGGGCCGCAGGCCGCGACCTTACCCAACTTCTTCTTACACCGCTTCAAACCCTAAACCCTAAACCTTAAAGCTCGACATTCGAAGTGAGAAGATCTCCAATCCGTGGAGCTAGTCCACTTGGCTCAGGCTCAGCTTGAGAACTCTGCTGGCTAAGATTGGCTTTTCGTTTAGCATTTGGAGGTTTAGGATAAGTCAGAATAGGAGGAGTAGCAAGACTGTCAGATATCGATCCGATATCTGGAGCTCTAGATCCTTCAGCTCTTATCCCTGGATCGTTAAATTCTATGGAGTCCAGAGATGATTCTGTCAATTTTGGAGGGCGTATAGGGAGGCTTTTGGAGTTGCAGGGCTTGGCTTTAGGGGTTTACAACCTTCGGGTTCGGGCCATGCTCGGACATGAAGCCTCTGGGCGAAGGGTCCATTTAAAGCACGGACCTCGAGCCTTGCATCTTAGAGCCTTTAAGCTGAACCCTTACCTCTGCGTCCCGAGTAAGGAGGAGTCACAAGTTAGTAGCCGAGGAGCAGTCCCCAACTTTCTTTGGGGCACGGCCACTTCCGCGTACCAGGCTCCTGGGATTTTGGGATTATGGGTTCAAGGTGTAGGGTTCAGGCTTTCCGGGTTTTGGGCTCATGGCGTGCGGGTCCAGAGTGGGGTCAAGAGTTAAGTGTCTAGGGTCTAATGGAGTCGAATGCTTCTGTTTGTAGGTAACTTGTGGTCTTATAGCCATAGGGGTGCGAGTTGGAGGTAAATCGGAGTAAAACCCAGTGAAGGGTTTCTTCCGAGGTGTAAAGTCGAGGCGACTTGTGCACAAAGGCCGACTGAGTCTTCTCGATGAGACACAAACACGGCCCTAAACCCCAAACCCCGATATCTCCGAGCAGGTGGAAGGCGCTTGGGATGAAGGCGGCGACCGAGAAGCTTAGGAGCTCAATCTAGGGGCCTAGATAATTACCAAAGCTATTTTGGTAGTTCCTTATTACATTTATAGTAGATTATGCCCCCAAACCCCCTATTCTAATTGTTAAGGCCCCTATGTTACTTAGAGCTAGATCTTCAAGATATACGGTTTAAGGTACCGGTCTTTACGCTTGATCATTTGCGGCACAGGGTTTAGATGGGGTGCAAGACAGTTGTAGCTTCAGATTAATTTGATCTTGTTTCCTTACCAAACGAAGCTACTGGGGGCCAGATGCCAGAGCTAATTCTGTGCCTTGCCGGAGGATCAGCTGAGCTTGCAGTAGTCCTGCAGATGTCCGTCCAAGAACTCCGCGCGCACACACTCGTACACACGCACGCATACAGACGCATGCACACACAGAGACACACACACACACACACCACGAACAAACCTTCGAGCGTTTCGATCACATTGCCTACTAGCCAAGGTGACTTTAGACTGTCAGATCTGCATGTGCCCGCCGTGGCTTCCAGGTGGGAGGTCGGAATCGATTTGGGATGTCTTTTGCCACAATGGTGGTGCCATTGACGTGCCTTGGCTTGAGCCGGGCATGACGTATACCGCACCCGAAACATTGCAGACCCATTGCAGCCGGCCTCGAAACGAGCCGATGCTACTGCTGAACAAGAAGATCGATAGCTCTCTTGACCCTGAGCCCTAACTCTAAAACCCACCAGGCTTAGAGCTTGCACGCTCTAAGTCTCAAAGCTCTGCTAGAAGAGTGCTTTTGGTGCTTACTGACCTAGGATGCCTCTGGTGATGTTAGCTGCAACTTCTACAACGAATGGAAATCAGACCTCGCACCTTGGGCGTGTCTAAGAAAAAGTGCTTCTGTTTAGTGTTAAGCTTTAGAGTTTCGGGTTCTGGGTTTACGGGATATGCTTTGGGGGTTAGTCTAGGGTTGTGGGTTTTTTTCAGTTGGAGTCTTGTGTTGCTTCCGACCGAGCTGCACAATTGAATTGGTCTAGCTCCTCTCGATTCTGCATTTGGCTGGCCGGACACGGAAAGAAGTTGGATCTCCTGGCATTTGGGGAATCCAGAAGGTTTCATGGTATCTGGCTTAACAATCGTAGCTCCGATGACCTACGCCCCTCCAACTCCCAAACCCGGGAATCCTTGACGTTGTGCTGCTGGTGGTGTTTTCGTTTCGTTTCCATCGGCGCTAGGAGAGTTCCACATACATATATATGTATATATATGTNNNTATACATATAGGTCAGGTTGTAACGGAGGTCTTCACATGGACGATGCACCTCTGCTTGGGTGCACCAGCTGTATCAAGGCTTTCCCGCTTCGAGTGGTGACGGTGGCGGCAGCGGCGGCGTTTGTTGTTGTTGTTGTTGTTGTTGTCGTTGTTGTTGTTGTTGTTGTTGTCGTTGTTGTTGTTGTTGTTGTTGCTGTTGTTGTTGTTGGTGGTGGTGGTGTTGTTGTTGTTTTTGTTGTTGTTGT